CAAACATCGCACGGAATGTAGAAAAAAAAAAAAAAGATTAAGATTGATGTATTGTCGCGTATCCTCAGCAGTACCCTCCTTCGGTCTCTCCCTGTGTCTACTTCCCGGTTGGTTCTGGACATGGTGCTGTTGTCTGCTGTTTCTGCGCTGCTGTGCTGTGTGTGTGTGGCGTACAGGGGCTCCGTACTGCTGCGCATACCCTAAATTTGATTCACGGAGCCCCTAAGAAAACATCGGTCGGAACATCGGCACGAATTTTCGATACCGATATCGATATATATCGGACGATATATATCGTGTACATCGTTCCGATTCACAACTCTACTTAATGGCGTACGTGGTACTGCTTAGTCTATAGGGGGGCGGTATCTTCCGTGGGATACGTGATCGCCTTCCATACAGCAGCATCTAGCATACATGGTTGTTGAATGTCAAGGATCTATTTCGCACGCAACAGTCTAGTATATGTATCCCACAGCGCACCCGCGCGCGTGTGTTTTATGCACAACTGCTGCTGTTGCTGTCCTTTGGTTCGACTCATCATAAATACTGCCGTAGACTTACTCCCTCCATGCACTCACCTGACGGTACGTTGCGGCAACCCCAAAGCAAGGTCGGCTGGAACCTCCACCAGCACGGTGCAGCGCACGTTCCGGCCTTTCGGTGCCACGGGCGGGAACTGCTCGAAGTACTTCCACACACCCGACGTCCGCTGCTTGCGCTTCCTTCCGGAGGGAGAATAGAGGTGCTGAGGGTCCCCGGCGGGCGATGTCGACGATGCCAGTGCTGCGGCAGCAGCGCTGTCGTTGTTGTTGGAGCTGTCCATTGGGACCGGCGGCAGTGCCGCCGGCGGTGGCGGGAGGGACGGCGGCGGCGGCTGCTGCTGTTGCTGGAGGGTAACAGCAGCGGCCACCGCTGTCGATAACGGCGCAGTAGCAGCCCCCACGGAGGAAGAAGCGGCCAGGGAAGGCCCATCCGATGAAACCGCGGCAGCAGTTGTTGTCGCGTGTGACTGCTGCTGCTGCTGCAGGTGCTGTTGTGGGGTAGCAGCAGTAGGGGTAACGTCTAACCCCACGTCGTGAACCGCTTCTGCTACTCCTCCTGATGGATGCGCCATTGCAGCAGCAGCAGCTGCTGCTGCTGCTGCTGCTGTGTCCACGGAGGTTGAAACGGCTTTTGCTTGGATACGCTCGCTTCGATCGGGTCGACTATGTAAGCACCCGGCCGCGGCCGTTTCGTCTTTCCGCAGCAGGTCTGGTTGTCTGGTTCTGTGGGATAAGAGCAGCAACTGGAAAAGAGCCGGGGGGTTCTGTTCCATGTGTGGAAAGACCCGCGGAGCGTCGAGGGGCGGGAAAAAAAGTTCGATCACGGTATGGAGCGGGGGGGTGGTTGGATCTATCCCCGGAGTTCGACTCGAGAAAGCGGCAATGAGTCTCCGACTAACAGCAAGAAGCCCTCTGCGCCGCCACGCACAAGCACAGAAGAGGGCGGAGCACAAAGACTCAGCGAGGTTCAACACAGAATGAACTTGGCCTGTGGCTGTTCCTAAAGATTGATGTAAAGAGGTGTACCACAGGCTCTCCCTTCGAAGAGGTAGGCGCCTGTTGAGCAATTTTTCAAAAAAAAAATGTGTTGGATTCAAACGCAGCGAGCGGCGGTTTGTTTGCCCCAAATGGTTGCAAGAATGGTAACACGGACGCGCTGCCTGTGTTTCACCATACCAACCGTTATCTGCTCGAAGCGACCCCAGAGACATAGGGAAGAGAGTGACGCGGCTGGATTTTTGTCGAGGGTTGAGAGCATTCCGAAGTTTTTGTTGGTGTCACACAAAGATACAAACATAGACTCTCTCTATATATATATATGTATGTGCATAGACTATAGTCTAGTCTAATACATGTAGATTCCAATTGATAGATTCCGCGATACCGCGCACCCCTATGGAACCAGGTTCGACGAACTGGATGGAGCGGTTTTCAAAGCTTGATTCCTCTACAGAAACAGCGACGTGGTGCCGAAAGCGGCGTTGGAACCGTCCAGTCGAGGTCTCTCCGACCATCTCTCTCTCAGTTGATTTTGGCATCCGTGTGGAAAAAAGGGTTTCGTCCTCGACAGACGTTGGGGAGTTTCAACCTTTATGAAGGTGTTCTCCACATTGTTGTTGTTGACTTCACATTAAACCGTATGCCAGTTGCTAAATGCCAAAATCTAGCAAAGACTCTCAGCCCGTGATCACGAAAGTGCTAGAGCCATCTGAGGATCTAAATAAAGAACACGCACACGTAGCAAGAAAAAGGTATAATACAAGAAGAGCCCGAAGAGGTACTACTACTACACCTATATATAATCCCTGCAGCACCGTACGCGTGCCCAAAACTGAACTACACGTCCGTCTCACCGTTCGACTACAGTAACATCACCCCCTACCTGTCCCACTCTGTACCAAAACGAATGATTGCCGACTACAGCATACTTGCTGTCTGAAGTGCTGTCTGTACAAAAACACCATGGTAGGCATGGAACAAGAAGCTGGCGGGGCACAAAGCTGCTGTCTGAAGTGCTGTCAGAATGTGTCT